GGCAACGACGACTAAGTCGAGTGGTCCCGAGAAAGTTGAGGAACCGATGGGGAAACCATGAGCGGGGAGTTGATTCAAGTGCACTTGACCCGAACAGTGGTGCGTGCGTGTGGCCGGCGAATAAATCGCTGTCTCCATGGTGACCGGTATACGGTTGCCAGGCGACACAGTGTTATACTGCGGTCTGATCGACCTTTGCGACGCCCTCACCTGCCACCTCGCGCTTACGCGTATACCTCTTGCGTTTTACCGTATGCACCTATTGACCGACAGTCAAAGGCCTGCCGTTGTTGTGATCTAAAAAACTAAGCCGAGTATTAACCTTTGACATTAAAAAGTAAACCCGTCAAACTTTGAAGATGAATTATTTATTATTATCTTCAATTTTCTATATGGTAAGAAATACCCATTTGAAATTTCAAACGAGCCATCCAATATGTCGAAGTATTTTCTGTTAACAATAAAAGCACAATTAATTGGTTTTCATTTTAATAGATGTCTTTTATATTTCATTTTCAAAAACGAGTTATCTACTTTTACTAATAGTTCTTTGTATGTGAATTTATTTATAAAAATGTATATTTGACATTATGCGAATAATAGTAATAATATTCCACGAATTCGAATTTATCGAACGATAAAAAAAAAACCGTTTAATCAATAACAACTAAAACTTTTCACTGTCTATTTGATATAACGGGTTCTTCGGATCTATTGTTTTGACGTCACAGATAATTATAATTAATAACGAGCTAAATTAAGATTCAGTAATGCATAATATATTTTACAATATTTTCATTTTTCACGTTCTCGAGTGTTCCTTAATCGAGTGATGATGAAACACTTGTCGTCGTATACGATTAAAAATTTACCTCGGGCGGTATTTAAACGACACTAACAAGTAACGTAGCGTTGTCTATTCGAAAATTCCATCGCTCATTAGTGTGTTACAGCTCGTAGTAAACTGTACTGTAATAGATGTCTGACAAGATGGCATTTGAACAAAACGCCAACACTGCCGTCGCCACTGTACGTTATCTCCTATTGTGTGCCGTTTAGCGCCTCTCGATGACTGCACCAGTCTGCAGCCATCCGACGTCAGTCGACACCAACGTACACCTGACAACGGTCCGACCAGCCGACCACCCACTGGCACACGAACGTGACTTGCACGTTGTGTCCGTGTGTCGGAAATTGGCCACAATCTCGAGTAAAAAGTGAACTGTGTAGAAACAATACAAGTTCGGTGGCGCTTTCACTGGAACGGCGCCTCGGCCCCGTCTCGAACGATTCGGTGGTCTGGAAGCGATTTAATGGAAACGAAGAAAAAAATAACGATAATAATGCCCCCACGAAAATCTAATACGGACTTGGCCGGTCGCGATAACCACCATTCATATTCAAATTGCCGTAGCCTCCAAGTCCAGTTTTCGAATTTCACGGTGCCAGAGACATGTGACAGGGGTAGAAGATAAATTCGCGCGCCAAAATTCTTAACACCCCACATTATTGTTGTCCACTAATGCCGCTGTCGTTGACAGTATCGCCCTCCCCCATGCGGACGGCGTATACCATTTACACTTTTATTAACTCCCGTCTCTCTCACTCGTTGTCGCGTTACACGCGCGCCAGCACATAATAATAATAATATATATGCGTGTGTGGGATCCACTGCTGCTGGTTGTTTAATAGCTACCCTCGCGTGTTTATGACTGCTGGTCGCGCGGTCATCCTCGTAGCCCTCGTCCGAGACACCGCGCCACTACTCCGGAGGGCATAATAACGGCGGTCAGGCGCTTTTTTTCAGAGCGGTCGGTGTAACGGCAAGATTCTCACGTCGTCCGAATATGTCAATGTGTGTGGGAATTCGTCGGTGAACTTTATGTTTGTTCATTTCCGATCGAGTTGTTTCGTCCCATTTCGCAGTTTCTCACACGTACACGTTGGTAACGGGACAAATATTAAGAATAATGGCCACTTCCGAGTTGGCTTACCTGTGATATTACGAGTTCAGTGATTTCGCGGTGGTCTTAATGCGCTGCCGTGGGACTCACACGACGAAACAATGGGGCGGCCGAGTAAGTGCACCCCCGTACTCGGGACCACCGCCGCGTTGCTTTTTTTTTATGTACGGGCCACCGAACACCACTACCACCATCGCTGCTATTATTGTAGGGGAATGTCTAAAGTCAAATTTACTCAGATGTCTAATCGCACGACTTAATAATCTTTCCAAACCGAAATCTTTTTTCTCATATGATTACGTTAACTTATTTGATTTACCGGGACATTGATTTGGACTTCATAGTTTTTCTAATTGATAGTTATTTTATTTTGTCATGATCGTAAAAATCATACGGAGACTGTAATTACAGATGCGATTTTAATTTTACAGTAAAACCTCATTTGAGTATGATTTTTGTTAGTAATTATGTCTTCGTGTTTTCAAATTGACAGCTTTATTTAGTTACTATTCATCATGTTATATATTGTTTGCTCATTGGTGTTTTTTTTTTTTTTTGTAAATTTGGCGTACCGCGTTTGATTACGTCTTACACAATATCTTACACTAAAAACACTATATACAAATATAATAATATAGATATTTATTACTATATACTCTGTAAACACAGATTGATTATTTTAACACTAGTCACTTGATTTCTCGTAAAATATTTTTTATGTTCATTTCTTATATTTTACTAATCTATAAAATAAAAAATTATATAATTATGGAAATGACTGGTCGATAACAACTTTTGAACCAATATTTCAGAAGTCAATAACAATATAAAGTCTGACTGGTGGTAAAGAGTGTGTGGGTGTTGCTATTTTTATCACTAGATATTTCTACTCCTCCTCTCATATAGGTATAAAAATGTTAATAACTTCTGTTATACTGGTCCAAAATTTGTTATCGTTCAGACATTTTCTAAACTACGTCATTTTCTATTTCATAAACAATGTATGTTGCCCTAAATATGTTCTTTTAAACATATTTCGGATAAGTGACAATGGTTCACGATTGCTATTAAAGTTAGTATTTTATTTTTTTACAAAAAAAAAATATAAAATTAAAATCCTAGTATCAATAACTAAAGATAAACCTTCGGTTAGCACAAAGACATGCATATGTATATCTTCTCATTACAGTGTTCAAAGTTTAATGATCTAGTTAAATAGCTTTACTGTAATTTTTAACTTAACGCCATACTTCATATCTTTTTGCAATAGAACAAAGTCAATGACGTATTTAGGGAAGGGCATAAGGGACATGTGCTGTTTCTAATATGACAGTTAAAATCAGACATAAAAAAAAATAAATCATAGTAAAATTAATACTTTCTCAGCTTCGATTCCAAGCTAAAATTAAAAAATTAAATATCTCTATGAGTATATTTATTTATATATATATATATATAAATATATCTTGAATATTTTTGGTTACTAATTGTAGTGAAAACTGTATTTATCTTCCCCCCATAAGGCGTCTTTATTTTTTTTATATATTACCTAGTAAATTTTTATTAGACGAGAGGGTCTTTTACCAAGTGTACAGCATTCCTAAATACGTTTCAATATAGAATAGATAAAACATAATTAAATTTAACACATTTCTACTTGAACTCGACAATTCGTAATTATGAACCAATATCAGGGCTGGTAATGATTTGGCATTATGATTTCCGTAAATTGTAATTACAGAGTCCAAACACAATGACCAATCAGTCGTATGACTTTCTTTAATCTCTGGTTAGTTGTCCACCTGTCATTGACTTTACTCCAACCCTATTCAAAACCATCATTATTTGTCTTTACTTACTTTAGTTTAAACAATTTGCTCGTTAAGCAAATTGACGTGCCTAAATAACTTCATATTTTTTGTTTTGGTTTTTTAGGTTGAATTAATTTAAAAACGTATTTTACGGTAATATCACAACATTAATTTCGTAAATCAGATTTTCATGAAATTCATTTAAAGAAATTCTCGGGTCTTCATTCTAATTACATTTTAAAAAGTGTTTTTCTTCTTCTGCAAAATTAATCATTTTGAATATTTGTCATTTGCTATATTATTAGAAAAAAATTATAACTAAAATGCCTTTACCTCACATATTTTTAACTTTTGCCATAATTAATTACGAATGTTACGAGTAACATAATTTTAAATAATTAAACATCTTAGTTTTTAGAAATACTAAAATTTTTAATGTATATTCAATTAAATATACTATAGATACCCCGATAAAAATTTAATTTTAATTTATTTACTGAAATAAATTAAAAATTGAATATAACATATTTAGTTTTATATTACAAAAACATGGAAAGCTATTTTTTACCATGAGTTTTTATTTATGAAAAGGGTTAAAGTTGCATGTTTATTAAAGTTGATATGCTACTCGACCAAAAAGTAAATAAAATCAATGCGATTTTTTTAATTCTTTAACGCTCACTGCCACACGCTCAAATTGTAAAACAAACATTTTTTTATCATTTCAATTTGAATTATAAAAATATATTACCTTACTAAAACCAGTAATAATTGGATTGGTATCAAAGCTTCTAATATTATTTTTTTTGGCATTTGTTAGGGTCGATCGAGTTTTTTGTATTGAACACAGTTTGCGCCTTATTACGCACCCCTCTTTTTTCACCCCTCTGTAGGAGCGTGTTAAAACGATCGCGCGGGTTCCGGCAATGGGTTTATACTATACAAACACACACACACACACACGTACATTTTATATGTATAAAACACACACACATACACTCACAACATTCTGTCATGGCGTCGGAGGCGCGGCTCTCCTATCTACGGGTCCACCTCTTTTAACTGGTCGTTAAAGGCAATATATGCTACATGCTTATTATACACTCACTGTCCTCATGACAAAATAAAAAACCGTTGTCTCCTAGATGATGAATACCATGTAAGTTGCACGTAGGTGTTAAGATTCTAAATAAATATTCAAAATTATAAATTTTACTATTTATTCATTTATTTTTTCATAATCTATACATTTTATTTTTATTTACAATATAAATAAATAATAAAAAAAAAATCACAAAATAGTTACATCGAGGGGGTGTGATATTTTATGTGTTTCTTGGTGAACACATTCAGACGGTGATAAAACGTACAAAAATTCTAAGGTACACGTTTCAAATAAAATATCATCACGACTTGATACATCGTATGCCTACGGTATACATTGACAAATGCATTTTGACCACACTAAATGTCCATCGACAAATTATAAGTTACTTTTATTTAATTAACAAATGATATTACAGTATATTTATAAGCTAATTCTCACCTACGTTCAAAATACATTATATACATCAATAAATATATAACATTTGAGAGAACTTTTATTAAGTCCACAATCAATTAAATACAATTTAACACTTTTGCGAATACCTACTTTTGTACAAATTTTCTTTTGTGTTTCCCGACCAACGATGTTTCACATTGTGCTTATCACTCATAATCCGTTTAGGACTTTAATTATATACAATCGAGTAGTCGTGTGTAGCGGACACTGATTACATGCAAGCAAAATGTACGAAATTAGTAAAATGTATCAACTTTGGTCATAAAAATAATATTGTTGGCTACACCATATCGAATGTGAATAATTTCAATAAAACATATCGGCGTGTGTAACTCTAGTCCAAAATGTCGGTAAAAAATTCTATTAGTATTGTTTTTTTTTTCCTATCGACACGCGTCAGTTAAAGTATATATACATAGATTTATAATTTTTATTAAATTTAATAATAATAATTTATTTTCAATAGCTAAAATAAAACTATCACAGGCACATTAAATACCGTTTGAATTAAAAATAAATTACTCTGATTTATTTCAATGTACAAATAAAATATTCGTTGGGAACCGCGTAAGCAATGTGCATTGGTCGTATGCGAAGATTGGCTTTAGTGAGTGTTTGAAGGTCATGTTCGAATTACAAATGAAATCCTCACAACCACATAGTATTAAGTAAACGTGCTAGAGGTAGTTGTAATTTTTTATGTACAAGTTATAAAACTAGAAGATAAACACAACTAAGAGAGGTTTGTTGTTGGAAGGACACGGTATTGGTGGACAAATCATTTTTCTACGTCCAACGTCTTTTGGACAGCGGTTGTGTCAGCTGCGTGTGCGCCCGAGTGGTTTGCCAATAATTGTCTTTGTAAACAAACCGCGGCTTATATGGTAGTTAACACGGGAGTAGTGGCTGCGGTTCACCACGCACGGCCTTGCAACGATAAATAAGACATATTCTGTTGTTGATGGTGATGTTGCCCGACATTCTGTCTCGGGTATGGCATGGCAGTGTTGCCCAATAGCTGATGCTGTGCCTGGTGTTGTTGCTGATGATGTCCCATGTTCGGTGAACCGTGATGGTGGTGATGGCCGTGGTGATGTGGGTGCACGCCGACGGCAACGTGTCCGCTATGATGCATAACCGGACTGTGACCGTTACAGTTGTTGCCCCCGCCCTGTGCCGATTGTTGACCAGAACCGTCGGAAGTGCCCGAACAGGGTTTACCGTCTTTGACCAACACCGGTACGGCTACTCGACGCGGAGAACTTTGAGCCTACAAAAAATAAACAACTTACAATTGAAAACAGTTTCATTTCTCAGGCCATTAATCGAAACTTGTACGATAACATATTTTTCGGTGCTAATCAAAATACGATGTACAACGTCCTATAAAATAATAATAAATTACCTGATTTTGGGCATTTTGTTCGGCCATTGCTTTTTCTTTGGCTTGACGTTTGCATTTGTATCGATGATTTTGAAACCATATTTTTACCTAAATCGAAAACAGATCATTTGAAAATTCATTTTGTACTTAAACTATTAAATGTAATAATAAGTATATTATTAATTTTATGACCGTGTTTTCTGTTAAAATGACAGAACTGCTGGGAAAAGCGAAGATAAATAAAATTATGTGGAAAGTAATTCAGTTTAAAATTAGCTAAACGACTTATTCGCTGTGTTGATATAAACAAAGTGACGGAAAAGAAAAAGAAATGAATACCAATGAGTATTTGTGGTTGTTGAAAGTAAAAAGATGACCAACATTAATATTGACAGTGAATGGGAACGAAGTGGAAATAAAGTTGAAGAGGTGTTTTTAAAAGTGCTCGCGAACCGAGTGCACTCTACGCGGCTTTTGGATAACGGTTTAAAGACAAACTCTTTTGACCGAAGGAACAGGATACGATTCCACTGCGCGCACTTGAGGCCGCCATGAGTATCTGCGAATAATTCCTACGTAAATTCACTTCACTTTTCATAAGTACTTAGCTCCTGCACAGAAACTTGTTCCATATAAACGATACACAATGCAAACGGTGCTGATTTATACCATTTGTAATTTACATATTAAACGACATTTAAACACCTCATTCCGTTTTTTTTTTTTTTTTTTGCGTACAGTAGTATCGCGGCAAGTGCTCAACAGAAGCAGCGAACATAGTTATGAATTAATGACACTATTATGGCGCTTTTTACTCGAGAGCGCACTTAGAAATCAGTAATTAATTATAATTATCTAATGTTTCTCTAGTGGTCGATAATTATCGAAGATAATTATATATATTATGAGAAGACTCGAGTAACGTCACATTGAAATGTGATATTTTTCATTAAATTTTATTTAGTACTAATCGACTGTTCAAAAAAATTGTAACTGGCATACCGAGCTGTCCTACAGCGTACTTATTTATCATGCGCGATTCGATGGTGTTTTATTTTTTTTCTGTAGAATTCCGCATACGAGATTTTACAATGTGTTGGCGTTGAGAGTTTAGGGCGCTCACTTTTATGCGAATAAATATCTTTGGCAAATTTAACGTACACAATACATATTCTAATCGCGCGTTGTAAATCCGTTGCATTTGAATGGTCGCTGAATGCAAACACTAGATATATAATAATGTACATAGTTTATGTATTATTATTATGTTCACCCGCGGTGAACACTCAACCGGCATTTTGGGGGCGACGGGACCGCGTAATCGGGTGCCGTGCGGGTCCCCGATCACAAAAAAACAGTAGTCGTACGATTACGCTATAGGCGCGCGGGGACTGTTGCCGCAACATCTGGCGCCCCGGGTACCCAGGCACAATCTGTCGGCCATTGTTCTACCGGCGCGCACCGGGTACCGATCATCTCGAGTGGTACTCACTTCAGACATTTTTCGGAGGGCTCACAATGAACGCTTTTGTGTCCGACACCACCGACAACACGGTTCCCGGACGAGCGTTTTCCACCGTTCCGCAAACTAAATACACTGGCGACAGGATACGATTATAATAAATATAATATGAACTCCCGCAATGGGCTGCGGGACTATTTTTGTGCGCCGGAGGGGCGATTTTATGGAGAGGAGACGCGGAAAGCTGCAGACGCAAGGAGCGGTTTATTGTTGGCGGATTGTGGAGCGAGGGACGGACGTGTACGCACAATACGGTGCAGTTGAAGAACGCACGCGTAACCCCGGAAAATGTTTATCCCTCATTAACCACAACGAACGCTTAAGACGGATTAACGGGTTGAATAAGCGCACGTTTATTTATCCGCTATAATCTTGTCCATAGTCATACCGATAGCGACAAAATGACAATATTAAAAGGATATTGATATGCGCATATGTTGTGCCGTATGTAAAAACAGTTGGACATTTCGATGAGTTCAGAGTTGGCCATGTTAACAATACCTAAAGTATAATTTATCATCTACAACGGAGTTTGCTTTGAATAAACGAAAAATTCGCTGTTAATTAAGTTACAAAATAAACAATACTACGTGGTTAAATGAAATAAATTCTACTTCTATGGCAAAAAATAACTAGTCAGTCTGTCCATTAAAAAAAAAAAAAAATTATTATTTTATTGTTAATTGCCAATTACACACTTAAGAAACGTCCGAATTTTCACATGCACGTACTGGCTTATTTCTTACAGCCAGTGTAAATAAAAATACATACCTGTGTTGGAGTCAAATGGATAAGACTAGCTAAATGTTCGCGTTCAGGTGCCGATAAATATTTTTGCTGTTTGAACCTCCTTTCTAACTCGTAAACCTAGCAAATATATAAACACATAACATTAATTTGGTTTCCATAGTTAAAAACGTTTTTTTTTTTTTTTTTTTTTAAGAGGGTAGCCTATTGACAAATTTGTATAAAATGTCCGTTAATGATAACTCGTATTATGTTATTATTGAAAACAAATGCATATGACTTTCTGTGTGAAGCAATAGGAAGAAAAAAAAACCATAATTTCATCAATTGAATTGAATAAACAAGAAAATAAAACGTCCTGTGAAAACGGTATCGCTCGAAATGTAATACACGGGACGCATAGACTGCAGGGTGAGAATGATACGTTAAACGATAAGGGAGGTGGGGACAAATGGGGGATGGTTACGTGTTCGTGTCAAAACCTCGTCTTAACGGATTTGACGTGACGCCTGATTGTGTTTGTTCGAGAAATGTGAATTTTGAGACAGCTAAAGTGCGCCGCAAACACCTATGAACTTGAATAGCAAATACGGTTTTAGGTTTCCTCGAGCTTAAAACAAACATATTCAGCGTTTTCTCGGGGAATTCTACACTACTAGCAGTGTAACTATTACAAAGCGAATGATGCGTTTGTCTGATTTCGACATTGTACGCGGCAACGGCGTCTGTCGCATTGGATACAGCGCGAATTATACACGTGTATGCCCAGTGTTTATGATGAATACGATCAATATTTAGCGAGTGTATAATTACAGCCGGTAAGATTTCTTTTTATTATCGCACGTACTTGAGCCTGTGTAAAAAGCACTCTTCTTTTGCGTCTCTGAGTGAGTGGGAACTGAAGAGGAGGTTTCGAGTCGCATCCCATGTTTGTCATTCCATTCATTGAGGTGTTCGATGATCCCATCAATCGAGAAACTGCAAAAAAACACATACGCGTAATTATTAATCTCGGTTTCGTCAGCGTTATGTAATTGTACACAAAGTCAAGATGTTTTCTAAGGAATATTCGGTTCATTTGAAATTCATTGTGCCTAAAGCTGTGCACGAGGGTCTCGAATATCCCTCGGCGGCATTCTCTTTAGAATTATACCTCGTAGTACGCCCATTTATTGACTCATGAATATTTCATATTACATTTCACCCTTTTAGTCTGTTCGCGATACCGTAATTTGAATTCGGTTTGGGTTTTTACGAACATGTCGACAGCAATCTTTTCTACTCTTATCAACACGCGTAGCTCTGAACGTAATCTAAAAAAAATCAATATGTTTTCCGAGTCCGATCGAAAACCGTGAGATATCACTGCATTTACTATGTGCCGATAAACCGTTTAAATTCGAGAAAATATTAAATAAATACGAGACGTTGGGGATTTTTTTAACGGTGTCGCTTGGAATTTAATAAAACGACCGGTCGTTACGTGCAACTGCGAGTATGTAAATACTTTTTCAGAAGTCTAACGATTTGCCCCGACAACGTCCGTGTTGGCTTGGTACAAACGGCATAAGCAATAAGCCGCACCGTTACATTGGTCGGTGGTAATGATAAAATATACGAATTGTACGTACTAAGCGTACGGCACCGAGTGTTTATCGAGTACAGTAGATTCCAATTATAATTTTGATGACAGGACGTCGTAACAGCAGAATAATAAGTGTACACACACACACACACACACACACACCCCTCTCCAACATTATTGTTCATGCCGGTCACAAAGCAAACATTATACGTGTTCGCCGCCTTGTCAACTACAAATGGAGTGTACAATATGGGCGAGCTTTTTACGTGTATCACGCGGATACGATTTTTGACAGGTTTTCACCAATAGGGTTGGCAATCGACAAACACTGTACAGCGTATTAAATGACACGTGCTGAAAATAAAAACCAGTGCGTTTCACGCGAATCCGTATAATAATAATGGTACTCGATATTAATAACAATAATATCGGATAAGTTCAGTGTGTGCGTTCGATAGTTCTTGGGATGAGTGTCCGCTACGAGATGTACCGAACGCGTGCACAACAAATTAAGTATTTAACGAATGAGCGTTAAACAGCTCATTACCGATGGAAATCACTTCAGGAATGAAAACAAAAATACGTAAACAACTTTGATGCGTAACAGACATTATCTGGAGGTAATGTTGTACATTCAGGCTATGTCGTCTTGGAGAGGCAATTGAACGAATGGCTTTGGAAGCTATTTCAAAATGCGACTAAAGTATAAATAGAAAGGCAGCTTCACTCAGATTTGATAAATTTTTTTGGATTCGATTTTTAAATAACAAACTAAACAATATAAGTATTTAACATATTTTGTCTACGTAATGGATACGAAACACAAGTGATAACATTTTATAATGAAATTTGACTCTCAGGTTAGAATCGTGGACATTTTAGTTGCTGCTTTCGATAACTATTTCGGTAAATCCCCCCTCAAAAAAAAAACAACTGGAATTTAATAGAATATTTGTTTAAAAAAAGTCTACTATTACGCTGTGTATTACGTGAAACCGTTTTCATTTCCCATCAGTTCTTGACAACGGGTTTGTATATTTATTTCGAGCAAGAAAAAAATTAAAGGAAACGAAACCGTCTCACTTGGGTTTTGTGCTTATAATGTTCACTATTTTTATTCGGAAAAAATAAGTACAGACGAGTTCGACAGACCTTGACGAACACAATTCATTTTAATGGCCGCCCCTCCGTACATTGCCCACATCAATAATTCCGTATTTCCTTCCCCACGCAGCTCCACAACAGCGTACACAATGTTCGAACATGCACAACACAAGGGACACGGCAACTGCGACACGTAAACGTGTCAACGAAAAATCATTTACTGTCAAAAGCCACGTAGAATCTGCTATCTGTCTGTATGCAGCACAATGCGAAAGGATATCCGCGATGGACGTTGCATTTTGCTCGGGATTGACTCGTTCGACACCTAAAGAGTGGGCGTTTGCCACCGGATTTGGGATGAATGGGCACAGTATTATACGCATCTGGATAGCAAATCAGGAAACGCTATTATTACTGTTGTACGAAGCCAGCAGTTGAAAGGCATTTTTTTTTTTTTTTTACGCATAGGCTACCTGTGATCTTGACATTCTACTGCATCACCGAACATCGTGGGTGTCCCTCGCTACGAGAGAGTGACGAGAGCGGAGAAAAAAACCGGTAGAAAAGATAATATTTTGATAGCTTGATTGCTAAGCGGACAGAGTGCGAGAGAGACGGGCCGAGAGAAGGGTTCATTTGTCTACACGTATGAATGCGATTGAACTAAACCAATAACAAACGCATTGTCAGATACACGTCGGGAATCGAGATTTTTACCTGTTTGTCCAAAACCACGTCAATGTTTTTTTTTAAATTTTCAAAGCCACGACGAAAACGTAAAAATTATAATGAGTACTATGTCCCTCACCTCTACTCGTTCCCGTCTTATTTGTGTTTGGCAAACATCGGTAGCTAAAGCCACGAGGCCTTGGAAATATTTCTTGAGCAAACATCAGTACGGGGTGACAAATATTATTCTAACGCCGGACCGAATAATCGAGATGTACAATTGTCTGGAACACTATACTTGGGCATGGGTTTGGGCATACAATGGAATGGACATTGGTGCATGTTTAAAAAAAAAAAAAAGTGCTTGGTAACGTAAAGCACACACACGTATAGGTACGCCCGAACACATTATTTTATTATGTTGTTATGACTATATATTCAATCAAGTTCATTTTACTCATTTGATATGGAGGTCATCGCAGTATTATTTCAACCGTTCTTCGATTTAGCCTTGTTAAACAGACTCTCACACGTCTATACGTTACAAAGTACACAACGCACGGTGCACTATGCACGATTCTATTATTTAAACAAGCATATTTATATTGTCTTGTATCTATTATGTTTCGCAGAATCATTGTCATCATGGCAAGAACAACACCACGATCAATATGAATAATGGTTATTAATTCGAGTGCGTTTAACTTGCTTTAAATATCTCACTGTGTGCCTATTTTGGCCAACCAACAGCTGACTATGCCGTCCATATTGAATGATTTACATAAAGATTTTTCTTAAACACTATATACGTAATAGGCTTTAGCTGGTTGTTATAATTTTATTAAAACCCACTCAATTATATTAACCCTTACGGTTCAGAAATAATTATACGACTTTGAGATTGAATATCTGTAGCAGTGGCACAGCTCAATGATGCGATAATAAAACTTATGCTACACTCGTGTAAACGCATAAAATGTTTTAAACAAGAATAAAAAACACAGCTTAAAATGTATAATAATAATATAAATACTAAAATATCTTAAAATTGAAATTTATAGCCTAGTGAATCAAATTGACTGCCACCTCCTAATTGATTGCATTGTTTCCTTAATAGCTGGACAACACACATTTATCAAAAATATACTTACATTATACTATTACTCGCTAATTATGTTTATTTTTTCATTCATTTTACACACGAGTAGTGTAATTTTGACAGAACATATGGAAAGTACATACACTAATAAATAGTTTTATCGCTATTTATTAGAATTTCCCTTTACACTGTTAGAGTTAAAAACCCAACCAGTACATGCATGTAAAAATTCAGACATTATTTTTTGTTAAGAATATAGTAGCTAATTTCAGGGGTATTTGATTTTCAAATACCCCTGAAATTAAATTTACTTTATTTCGCTATCAAACCAATAAAAAATTCGATTCTCGGAAACACAAACGAATAACAATTTTATTATTAATCCATTTTTAATATATTTTTGATCTTTAAGTTTTTAATTTAAAAGTTAAATATAGTACATGTACAACTTAACAAGCATTGATTCATTGTTATTTTATAATTTAATTGTTGTGCAATTTTAGAATAATAAACATAATACACGCATTTAATTTTTTAAGTAAAATAAAAGTACTATTGAATTTAAATATTGATTCATTAGTGATAAAAGAAATTAGTCAAAGTTCTAACAAATTTTATTTAACCACATAGTCGCGAATTATTACTTTCAATAATAAATCATAATTAAATATCGGTATATTTATAGAAATTATTGTGCACGCACAAAAAAGTTTTCAAACTTCCAGTTATTAAAGCTGTATATAAACCAAAATGGCGTGTTTACACCATTTAATCGCATTTGGGCGATAAAAAAGGGCTAATGGCATTATAACGACTGTTGTAATAACCGGTTAGACGGCGTATATTATCCACCTCCTCGGGGCAAATGTTTTACAGAAAAAGGGGTTCCGCTCGTACAAACTACCGGATCTCTAATCCAATATGACACCCCGAATTACGACCCCATGGCGTATTTTACGGTCGTTTGAACAAGATTGTGACTAAAAACATACACATTATTAGCTTTATCGAGGCTTATGTATGTGTACTTATGAAAAGTTCTTCAATAAACCGTCCACGAATAAGAAACATTAGCATAGGCGCCAATTGGGAGGAAAAATTACATTATTACAAAATATACATATAAAAAAAATCCTCTCCAAAAAATTGTTTGAATTGCACTAATAAATATAAAAAATTATTTATGAAAACTTTAGCCATTTAAGCCATATGAAAAATAATAAATATTTTACAAAGAAATCTAGCATCAATAGAAGTCAGGCACAGAAGACATTTTCTGGAAGAAAAGAGAATTTCACTTTGAAGAGAAATTATTCATTAAAAAATTTTCACTATATCTGTTAGGAAACTATTGTTTAAAAAGAGGACTTTTTAGAAAATAGTTCTAATTTTGGGAGGTCATTTCTCCTGTGCTTCCCTTTATTTCGCACCAGTTAGAAATGATTTAACTAAATTATAAAACTTCATAAAGTTATCTTTATATGAAATGATATTGAAAAGAATAATATTATAAATTTATCCGTCTTGATTATTTTATTTAGTAGTCATACATGTTTTTGATTAGAAGTTAGTGATAAATTATTTTGAATACTTAGTTATAAAATGATTTTTATCGCTACCTTATACTATTCCTAATAATAAGTATATTCTATGATTAATAGTTATGCGTAATATTAATATTATATCAAATAAATATACATATTTGTTAATAGTAATAATATATAGCTTGTACTAGTAATGATTTTGATATTTCTAATTACTAACATTACTAACAATTTTTTTTATATTGATTTTATTTTATAAACTTTTGAGAATTCACTTGTGAATATAAAATATAAATAAAATAATTTTTGAAAAATTAAGTTGACCTTTATTCGAACGAATGTACCTATTAAACACCGAAATAGTAAGTTTTTTTACACATATTAATATATAGATTTTTTTATAGGCATTTATTATTTTTAATGTTTAGCTTGATAATTTATTAAACTATATCTTTTCAAAATAAATATGTTTAAATGTAATGCTTCGCATATTCATTAATTATCAAATAGACATATAACATATATCATTAACAATACATAATCGTACGTTAAGTCAATAAAACTGATGATTTAATCTGTTTTTCAATTTTTCTAGTTTTTTGAGTATCTATTATTAGGAAACTACATTTTTCTAAAGAAAATATGATATAAATGTAATTGATGATTGGCATCGACTTACTTGCAAATCTCGGGTCGTTTGTCGGGGCACCATACCAAGTGGTCGAATTACCATAGCCAGAAACCATATCCGGTTGACAATATTGCGGAGGTGGTGGTGGTGGTGCTGGAAATTGTGGATGAACGTGCCAACTTGCGGCAGCTGGAGCCGCGTTTGGCACGTTTCCGTTATTACCGGACATAGCCCCGGGGCTACCAGAAGCACTTCCTCCGGTACTGCCGGCTGTACTGGACCGATGATAAGGAGACGGTGATCCGCACAGCTCAAGTTTGCGGTATTCCTCGATGGGGCTGAGAATATCGGTAACGGAGAACGGTGTTGTGTGCGCTGCGTGATGATTGTGGTGATGATGATGATGCGGTTTAGGGCTCAAGGACATAGCTAGGTCCGCACTATTAAGCTCTGGCAGTAGGTCGCCAGAGCTCTCCGAGTACACGGCTGATGCCGCCGACGAAGCGGCAGTCACCGAGAGAGCCACTTTCGCGAATTGACAAACAAACGGCAGCCCGGAATACAACGTCGATCGCTATGGACACTGGCCGGATAAAGTTCGAAATCAGCACTCACGCCGTCAACATTGTTTTTTGGATGTTACGCGTACATTACATGTGTTTACGCGGAAAAAAGTAAAAACAATAATATCGCAAAATAAATAAACTCTGGGGGCTCTCGTGTGTAGAGCACTACCCGAAACTAGTGTCACTCGAAACTGGACTACTCGACGTCGACGAGAGGACTCGAGGGCCGCACTCGAGTGGCGGAGCACTCCGGTACCGCAACCCGCCCAGACTGTGGGACGGATCCTCGGAGGGGCGTGGCCCCGACGACCAATAGTCTAGTACCCGTGTAGACGACGCGAAAGGTTGCGAAAAAAATCGTGTGCTGCGTATAAGGGAAAACCGTATAATGTACACAATAATCAAAAATTGGAGGGGGTGACGAGGATAAAAACAGTTACCACCGCGGGGCTACAATGAAAATAGCGATATTTCCGGCGGTGCACATTATGTTTATATTCATGCAGTAGCAACAATCCAATGTATAAATGGAATCGGTTTTGATACGGTACTCCACCGATGGCCAAAGTAGGTAATGGACGGGCGGAGGGCGCCTCTCGTGAACTAGAAGCATCATCGTCTCGAAGTAGCGTAATCAATTACACGTAAAACGAGTACTGGCGAGTGGCACTTGTCATGGCGAAAGACAACACCATTTGACTAGGAGTAGGGCCGAATATATCGCCACCTCGTTTAAGCTGTTGTTGTTTGTATTAACATTACACTTGAAGTCTAGCCGAGTAATTGTATCGAATACAGATTTGTGGGCTGTTAAAAATAATTATACCATTTTTATGACACGAAACTTGTGAATTACTATTCACTCAACGATTCGGAACTTTTACACGTCAGAATTTATTTCGCTTGCTGATTTATTTACAACGTACGCGGATATTAAAAAATACCTGTCTTTGCTTGACAAATAGACGGATTGAATAATTTCATTGGCCCGATTTATATTTTCAGAAAAAAAATCAAAATGTGACTTTTAACGGTTTTTTTTTCAAACGAAGTTTTCAAGTACACGCCGACCGTTTATATTAAGACTTAATGTACAAGAAAGAACAAGGAAAGTCTATTGTTTGAAGAGTAATGTGTAATTTTTTTTAGAAAAACTTGGTTGCCCCGTGCACATACTATGTATGTATAATTCTAGTTAGAGTGCACTCAAAAATACCCCCCTCGAATAATATATATATATCCTCCGGTGGTCGCGAGTAATTATTATTGTTAGGACTACTCTATCGAACGACATATTAAATAGAATTACCTGGTGCAACACTCTTAATCGTCATACCAATTGTATTGTAGTGATATAGAAATGACTTTCAAGTGGCTGTTATATTTTTATTATTTTTGAAAGGGGCTGTGTTCAATGAATTTATTCAACTAAAGAAGCAGAGTCAAATGTAGTGAAAACATTTTTTTAAGAAATTTACAATAATTTAAAAATATTATACATTTGACACTAGATAGGCGATATAATGCGCTATAAGAAATGACCGGTATGTCAGTATAACATTTATTATATACACAATAATTGTACACACAAGTAGTGTAATTTTGACATAAAACATCAAAAATTCGTTCACTAATATACTAGTTTTATTATTTATCAAAATTTTCCCTAGCGTTAAAAACTACCAGTACACGCATGTAAAAATTCGGAAATTCTTTTTAAGACGGTATCTAATGTATGATTAGATGCTACTGGATAAAAATTAACTCGTAAAATTAAACTTTATATATTCAAAATACAATTGTTTGGTAACTAAGCAATATATTTTACACTTATAAATAGTTCTATATGATAATACTATTTGAAAATAATCTACTAAACATAAAATTATTGATTTTAACTAATTCGTTACTAAGAAACTCTAGATTTTCTTCCTATACATACAGTAAACATTTAATGAATTGTTACATTTCAATTATAGTCTCAAGTTTAATTGTATCATTATCTCGTGTCTATTATGATTTTATTTGTGTTTTGCAAATAATCAAACTTCTCTTTAAGCTTACATTAGATAAGCAAAACACAAACTGTTGGAAAAATATGTGCAGAGAATTGATCAGACTACTTTTTGACATGGAAGAAATATATCAATCTTAAAAGTCGAATACATCAAGCTCTAGATGCTATTGATTCAACTGATGCATATTTTAAGTGTATAAACAACTACAGGAACAGATAAGATTCCGAAGATGTTCGTAGAGGCGGCTGATCAATTCGGTGAGGACATTTACGCTGCGCTTGAACTTGTTGTTCGCCCGACAAAATACTCATCTAAAACGAACTGTCTTAATGTGTACTGTCGTAAAATCATATTGCCGGTCAGATGAAGTGTATGCCAATCGCAATAGACGTTTGATGAAATTGTGATGAGATATTCCACTTTTTTAATGGGAGGTAAATCGTCCAACATCGGAAATTTTAGTGACTGAGTTTGAAGTTTTTCAAATGTCTTATTTTTCAAACATTTATATAATGTGTGTTTTTCACACATTTGTGCAATCATTTTATCAATAATTGATCAATTAGTGCAATTTTTTAATGTAAGGTTAATATACCCGACAACGGCATGTGGTAATTGTATTAAATAAATTTTTGTTTCATTAGAAGTTTGAAGTTTTCCAATAATTTTGTTTACAACTCGTATATGGTACGTGCTTAATACATATAGAGTGTCCCACTGCGATTTACTAATTTTAAGATTGAGTATATGGTCAAATTAGTGGTTGTATCATCTTGTTGATTGTCACATCTATCTAATAGATCTATTAAATTAGTACTCTTAGATTAAACTAATGTAATACCAAATATTTAAAAAATTCTTGCTAGCCCGGAAAACATTCAAAAAGGATTATTGATAATATTAAGTTTAATTACTCCTTTTAACTCACACTAGTAAGTGCACTAGCTGCCTTCTTTCTTTATTCTACTTATGTGTTTGTACTAAGTAAATTTAAATTACATGCTATTAAAAATTAAATCTAGTATTTTTTTTTTATACAATCTCAGTTCAAACTTAGTTACAAATAAAAAAAAAAAGAAATGTCCTTCGTACTCTCTATTAATTGCTACTAATTATTTCACACCTACCGTACTAATTGCTACTAATTTTTTCACACCTTTTGTACTAATTGCTGCTAATTGTTTCACACCTTTTGTATTAATTGCTACTAATTGTTTCACACCTTTTGTATTAATTGCTACTAATTGTTTCACACCTACCGTACTAATTGCTACTAATTATTTCACACCTAATGTATTAATTGCTACTAATTGTTTCACACCTTATGTATTAATTGCTACTAATTGTTTCACACCTTTTGTATTAATTGCTACTAATTGTTTCACACCTACCGTACTAATTGCTACTAATTTTTTCACACCTTTTGTACTAATTGCTGCTAATTGTTTCACACCTTTTGTATTAATTGCTACTAATTGTTTCACACCTTTTGTATTAATTGCTACTAATTTTTTCAAACCTACCGTACTAATTGCTACTAATTGTTTCACACCTAATGTACTAATTGCTACTAATTTTTTCACACCTTTTGTACTAATTGCTACTAATTGTTTCACACCTAATGTACTATTTGCTACTAATTTTTTCAAACCTACCGTACTAATTGCTACTAATTATTTCACACCTAATGTACTAATTGCTACTCATTTTTTCACACCTAATGTACTAATTGCTACTTATTGTTTCACACCTTTTGTACTAATTACTACTAAATTTGTACTAATTGTTTCACACCTTTTTTACTTAGTTTAGTTTGTTTTAAATAAATTTTTTTTTTTTAATATTTTTAGTTATATAATTTATAGTCTGAAATTAATTTTTTTTTAAATTTTTCTTCTATTTTATGTTCGTATAATGTTACATTTTAATTATTTTTAATCTTTGAAACATAAAATCATTTAATGCAAAACAATATCATTACAAAGAGATTGAAATATACGAATAACATTATCAAGAAGTCATTGAATTAAAAAATCTATAATATTATAAATCAATACTAGTCATTATAGCAATGAATTATATGTTGCAGTTAAAAAAACAATATATTAATTAAATTTATATTTACTGGAATGTACGTTGATATTTCCTCTCTGTTATTCCACATCTTATAAATTTAAGTAATAAAAAAAACCCAGCACAGGGGGGTCACGGCACAGTGGTGACGTGGCATAGTTGGATCAAGTATAATGATATCTGACAGTGATTAAAATCACTATCAAAAATAAACGCTTCGATGCAAATCTTTAGATAGTGTTTAATTTAAAAAAAATTGGTGTTTTATTCCAAAAGCTACTTGATCTGCTGGTTCCTTATTAATATCTCGATTAAGATAAAGTATGTCGAATGAAAAAGGGTTTATTAAAAAATATTATTTCTCATAAAAAAATTGTGTGGATCCATAAACTTTTCAATAAGTTATAGCATTATAAAGTTAAATATAATATAAATAATAAAATCGAGAATTTTCACACGAAAATAGCATTCGGTAGCCATTTTCGCCGTGAAGACAAGTCCAGAGGTCAAATTTTTTTTTTTCAAATTAAAGTATATTACATTAGCTTTAATTTAAGATATATATAAAAGTGTCAGACCTTCCGGAACATTTTCAAAAGTTAAGTTGAAAAAGTTAATTTTTTGTGAAAAAGTTGTCATTTTAAATCCCCCCCTGTGGGCAGGTTAAGTGTCAGATTTACAAAAAAAATATACCAAATAATAAGTAAAGACATCAAGCATCTATATAAAAAAAAATTATATTGATATGTTCATTTTTGAAAATGTTACAGCATTATTAAGTTAAAAATATAAAAAAAAATTATTTTACAAAAATCGTAATTTTTTATTAACTTTGATGTCAACTTTCACCACGAAGACAAGTCCAGAGGTCAAATTTTTTTTTTTCAAATTAAAGTATATTACATAAGCTTCAATTTAAGATATATATAAAAGTGTCAGACCTTCCGGAACATTTTCAAAAGTTAAGTTGAAAAAGTTAATTTTTTGTGAAAAAGTTGTCATTTTAAATCCCCCCCTGTGGGCAGGTTAAGTGTCAGATTTACAAAAAAAATATACCAAATGATAAGTAAAGACATCAAGCATCTATATAAAAAAAAATTATATTCATATGTTCATTTTTGAAAAAGTTACGGCAGTTTTTAGTAAAAAAAATTGAAAAAATTTCGAAAATTAGCGATTTTTAAATTTGTAATTTTTTTGGAGGTTTCCCCCATTTACGGGAAACGAGGGAAATTTTTTCAATTTTGAAGGGTAATATCTTCGACTAGATACGATTTGTGATCTTTTGACGTATCGTTGAAAGAAATCCGTTCGGTGAGAGCTGAGAAAAAGTGGTAACAGACACAAAAAAAAAAAACACATAGTAAAACCAATACCTTCTCAGCTTCACATCGAAGCTAATATTAATTTGTTTATACAGCAACCTTTTTTATTATCTTTATTCAAATTTTGTGAATTGGCTATTTTTCTTTACTCATATTACCAATTGTCATGGTTTTAACGACGATTTAGATTCGTAGAATTTAAAAGACAAATGTCAATCAGGATTACTATCGCGATGTAAAAATCACAATTACGTGTTGTGAAAAATTTGTATAAAAAGAAAATAGAATTTCTTTAGAAGCAAATAGGCTTCCTATAAAATGCTGGTAGTGCTTACATTTTAAACAGTCCCATTAGCACACATAGTGTCCATTCGAGTATGGATGAGTTAGTTTGTAATTTTTATAATTCAGATACTAATCGGATCGGCATCGGTAGCTGTTGTCAATATACTTATATACATAGTGTTTATAGTGAGGTATTGAATAAGCGGGGGATGTATCCGTCAAGTTTGTTTAGCCTATGGACCAGGTGAGTCTACTTCGAGATCATTACAATAACTCGCG